GGGGGGTAACCGCATTCACACTTGGTTCGATGTATGTGGTTTGGCAACTTTGAAGATTCGTGCCCTTGGATCTCTGTGATCATGCATCTGTTATTCCTTGCGTTATTGGAAAGAAGAGTATGCTATGGAAAAGGTCTAAGAGGAAGATGCTCGAAGCCAAATCTTTTTTATGCATGCATTTTCAAAGCAGGTCACCCAAGATGTATATGGAATTCCATCTGGAAACAGGGGCCAATGGATGTTTCTTTTTGTAATGGGCTACCAGAAATGGTTGTAGCAAATATCTAAGTAAGAAGAGGACTGTCGTGAGCTGGCGCTTTATGTGTAAATTCACTATGAAGATATAGAGTATTTGCTTTGGTACTCTGCAGATGTACAAATGAATTGTAGATTTTTCTTTTTCTTATTCAGTATAGCAGGGTATTGTATTCTTCTTACTCTGGTGAGTGGAGGTTGAAGAAGATAGAAGATAGAAGATAGAAGATAGAAGATAGAAGATAGAAGATAGAAGTAAGGAAGCATGGAAAGTAGGCCTACCCTTTGCGCTTAATGGTTAGTTCGGAAAGGGAAGAGCAACGAGGTTCTAAAGCTGTCGACAGTTTCTCCATAGAGTGTGAAGAGTTACTTTGTATTTTAATAGTTAGATTCTTCTGAAGCTCTCAGCTAAATCAATGTAGTATAAAGCTTTTGATTCCATCTTGGTGTGCCTATTGATGAAATTACCTTAACTTTTTTAAGAAAGAAAAGTATTCGCGAAATAACTTGTTCAGGAGAGGAGAAATTAATAGCATATCTGTAATCAATTATTTTCCTTTTGATCAGCATCCAGCTGCAAGGGACCTGATATTTGCCACTCACTTTCTTATGCAGAAATTACTTTTTCATGGATGAATCCTCTTATGCAACTTGGTTATAAAAGACCATTAACAGAAAAGGATGTGTGGAAACTGGATACTTGGGATCGCACTGAAACTCTGAACAACTCGTAAGTGTGCTCCCTTCCTTCTTCTTTTCATCATTTAAGATTTAGTTTAAATCCCAGAAAGTGACTACCTTATTGGGGAAAAGAAAGTCAAAACCGAATTTGGTGAAGCAGATATATTAACATTCTGATAAACTATTTAGGTTTCAAAAGAGTTGGGCAGAGGAGGCTCAAAGACCTAAACCATGGCTTTTAAGAGCTTTAAACCGTAGTCTTGGTGGAAGGTAAAAATGTTTGCCTATGTTTCATACTTCTGTTTTGCTGATTTTTCATACCAAAGATATACATTGCTCGATCAGTTGATATTTGTTGTTACTAAACATTTTTCCATCTTTCTATGTTTGCAGGTTTTGGTGGGGAGGCTTCTGGAAGGTAGTTGATTTCACCTGTTACATCTTAGCTGGTTATTAATAGTTCTTGAATTAATCAGATCATAATCAGAATGCATCACGTAAAAGCTTTATGCTTGATCTTTAATTTATGTTACAAGTTTAAGGAAGTGGACAAGCTTGCTCTTTGTACTTAGAAGGCTCACTTCTGGAACCATATTCGTATCTTCTCGTTATTAGATTGAAGTCTAGAATATGTTGCATGATTGAATATTGGCATATGCGTATATACTAGTAACTGTTCCTTTCATCGTCAATGGAAACTGATGTCCAGAAGTACACTATATGTGAAGCATAGTGTCATTAGGTATGCTTTCTGAAACTACCCGCAGAAGTTGCAGGTCTTAGAGAGAGAGAAAGGAAGAAAGAGAGTTAAAGATGTAGAGGGAGAGGGGGAGATATAGTTAGATAGAGAGAGGGGTTCTTATATATCATGATTGCTCGGCTTTACATGGGAGCACTTGTAGATGTTTACGAGAGTTTTGGACTTTTACCACCTCTTAAGAGTGGTCTGTTTGTCAAAAAACCTTCTTTCTGAAAGTTCTGCTTCAGATGGGAAGTTGACATATCTGTATCCATAATGAATTTATGCAAGTTTTAAGTAGTAAAATGAAACAGGCTGAATGGGGCCAAATGGATATAGAGGATTCTATAGCCAACTCTGAACTAGTTTGGAGGATAAGCTCTTATTGCTATTTAGATGTATGTAGAAGTTTGCATTGCTTGCATCAATAATATGGAGATGTATTCACGTGCGCACATGTATAAATTTATGTATGCAGCACACATTCATAGTTCTATATCTGTACATTTCTTTTTTCCCTTCTCTCTTCTACCTTACATAACTTTTTGCTTTCTGTAATACGTGTATAAGATAAATGTGTTTTAGTTAATTTGACTTTGTAAACACCAACGTTTAGGCATGTGTGGTCTTACAAATTTTATGTATTATCTACCGGTAGTACTATAAGGCATACTGAAGACATGTTTTTGAAGTAACATTTGTTTTCTTATATCATGTGTATTTAGTTGAAATACCAAATTTGTAACTTCTCTATGTTTCTTTTCCAACATGTAGATTGGAAATGATGCTTCCCAGTTCATTGGACCACTTATTCTAAACCAACTCTTACAGGTAAAAAGCAATTGCAGTATTGCACATTCTGTAAATTGATGCTTGTAAGGACTTTTATTCAGACCGCATTTGTGTCCTGAAAAAATGATGGTTTACCAATATCTTCTGGCATCTTAATTTATTTTATACTTGCTTTGATGGCTAGAGTAGTTGTGGATCGGTGATGAGGTTTTTGTAACTCCCAACTAGTTTTAGGTACCTTCTTCCTTTTGTCCTTTTATACCTGCACCTGTAAACTTCTTAAAATGATCTCCACCAAAATTATCATTTATTGGCCTTTGGAATGCAGCAGTAAGTACATAGTTTTTCTTTTTGACAAGAAAAGTGGGATAAAGGTTGCAACCTAGATGATAGGATACGAAAGGAGCACAATTATAGTTTTTAGTTGGTGCTTCATGTATTTGAGGCAAGTAGGGATGTGGTAAGGAATAAGGATATCCTTATCTTTTTCTGATCATGCAGCAGGCCTGTTGTGAGGTGTGGTTCCATATTGGTTTTTATTTGGAACTTTATATGGAGGAGTTTGGAAAAGTTTTGAAGGGATTAGCAACTTTCCTGAAGCCTAAGACTACCATTTGGTTATTGTTATTTTGGTAACCATCATTGCCATTAGCTTCTCTTTTGCTTTGGTTGAGTACAAATCTTATTTTATATGCTTATAAAAAAATCTTAATTTATACTCTCTGAATTGCAAGTCATCTGGTTTGTATTTGATATGCATCGTTGCATCCTTGGTGCCACACCAAGATGAATTAATATTTATCCAAAAGTAGTGATATTTCTTATTCATTGTTTACATTTCTCTGATGTGCATAATTAGGTTAACAAAGTCAATTGTGATCGTGATGTGAAAATTACCCTTTAAAAGTGGTAGTTTTCAATACAAATAATGTCCATGCTTGACATCATAATGTTTGGAGATGATCTGATAATGGCTTGTTAGAATTCCTTCCATTTGATTTCACTCTTGTTCTTTTATCTTTTAAAATTTTCTGACATCTGATCATTATCTCTTTTATCTCCATCCAACAGTCTATGCAACGAGGTGATCCAGCATGGATAGGCTACATCTATGCATTCACGATTTTTGTTGGAGTGGTATGAATTCTATGCCAACCTGTGAATACCAAGATACTATAGTCTGGTCTCTCTGTATTTGACTATTTCAGAAAATGTCTTCAGCCTGCTTGCATATTGGACTAACTCTGAAAAACCAAATCTTACGCAGTGGTTACGTCAAATTGAATTGGCATGCATAAAGGTCCTAGTACCTATGTTTGGTGAACCTATAGTGGACATTGATATGTAGCTGCTATATGTTTGAGGCCTTTTTGGTCTGACTGAAGAAAATTTATGCAATTAGCTGGAGGCCATATATTTAATCTCTCTCTCTCTCAACACCCCCCCCCCCACCCAATTTGTATCAGCCTTAACTATAGAATTCTTGTTGTTAAT